CCCCCCCCCCCCCGCCCCTCAGAAATGGCCTCCATCTTCCCTGTCTGCTATATACACACATGTAAAGAAGTCTTTATCCTTTTACTGCTTGCCTTACACACATGTCCACGCAGGAAGCTGGCTCACACACTCTTCTCAAATGTTCTTTTCTCCTATTCTCTGTCTGCTCCATACTGCACCTTCCTGTTTGCCATATTAACATAGGCCAGCATTCTTTGGTCGCTGGCCTTGCTAGTCGTCACATACATCTTCTGGGCTTTTTTTCCTGCCTGCTGTTGCCTCCCACGTTGACTCTTAGGCACTTTCCTCATTGCTATGAGTACCCTTTCACTTCCTTGCCTGTGACGTGCAGGCTTCCCTCTGTAGGTCCAGCTGCCAGACCAGACGGAACAGGAGCGCTGACCCTCCCCTTTCTGTCAGGCTGACAGCCTTCCCCTCTGAAGATGCCCCACCCATTCCTGTCACTTTCCTACCCACAAGCACCCACCCACTCCAGAAATCCCTGCATTGCACGATCGCTGGCTCCCTATCCACCTGTCTCTCTCCTGACAGACGCTGGCACTTGTGCATACACAGTGAACTATATTTTCAGTTCTGTTCTAAATCGTATTCCTTCTCAATATCTGCAGTTCTCAGAAAACCACACCCCCCAAAAAAAAAACCTCGAAGCAGGCTCTATTCTTCCCATATTTCCACAGCACGTCTACATTCTAAGCACTCAGTCACTCCCCTCCCCCCACCCCGACTCCCACACTCACACATATTCTGTCTTATTCTCCACTAAAGTCTGGCTTTCTCGTGGACCCAGCCTTATAATCATTTTGCAAACATTACACATGTGTTCCAGGTCTACATCAGACAGTCACTGGAATGCTACCTCAGGCCTTAGAAGACAGTGAAACTAATGTTAAAGGGCCCTTATCCCTGTACCTGCCTACTGAAGGAAAATTAGATCTCCTTTAGTTCGGAACTGGGAGCAAGAGCCTTTGCACCTGCGGCCCAGCTCTGTCGGAAACTCTTGAGTCAGCCATGGGTCAGGAATCTAGCAAGCCTGTTCGGCCCAAATCAGCAGGAGGGTATCAATCTGATGCAGACAGGGGTTATGGAAGGAGGCATGCTTATGTCAATTTCAGGCAACCCACGAGCCAGCAGGACCGGATTGCCAGCCCGAGAAGGACAACATCCGAAGCCCCAATGCACAGATCAGCCCCCAATCAAACTAAGAGGAGCCGCTCACCATTTGCCAGCACACGCCGTCGTTGGGATGACTCCGAGAGCTCAGGAGCCAACATGAATGTTGGGAATGAGAATTATTCCAGGTATCCTCCAAGAGAGTACAGGGCCTCAGGGAGCCGAAGAGGATTGGCTTATGGACACATTGACACTTTGGGGGCGCGTGATAGTGAGGAGGAGGGGGCTGGGCCTGTTAACAGACTGCCAGTACGAGGGAAAACTGGCAAGTTTAAGGCTGATCCAGAGAAGGGGGCAAGGTCTCCTCGCTTCTCTGGCCCTCGCCGCCGCCGCCGTAATGCGAAAGAGGAACGTGGCAAGGTAGACCCGCCCCCTGCTGCACGGTCCTCTGGTACCAGAGCTGAGTTCGTGAAGCAGAATGGCATGGCCTCTCAGATGGCCTCTGCTGAAGGCAGGGCAGCTGCAAAGGGTAGCAACAATGTGGAGAGAGGGAGGCAGAATGTACCTGCGCGTCCTAGCAGGGCTCCTGTGAGTATTTGTGCTGGGGGGGGAGCCACCGCAAAGAGCGCAGAGGAACCGGTGGTGAGACCAAAAATCCGCAATGTGGCGACTCCAAGCTGCGTGAAACCAAAAGTGTTTTTTGATACTGATGATGATGACGATGTACCACACAGTAATCCCAGGTGGAGAGATGCTGCCAATGCTGATGCTGAGGAAGCCCGTGCAGAGGCCCTCCCAAGAAGAGGCCGAAGTGAGGGGGCAGGCAACTCCTCTGAGCTGAAGTATCCTGAAGACAAGAAGGATAACAGGAATGGGCAGGCGAAAGCAGAGAAGGTGTCCAGACGGCGGCGAACCATGGCTGACCGTGACTTCTGGGCATACTCTGACGATTACTACAGGTACTATGAAGACGACTCTGACAGTGAGAAAGAGTGGATGTCTGCTCTGCACTGGAAGTATCGAAGCCGGGAGCAACCCCAGCCTTCCAATGGGGAAAGCTGGGAGCCTCTGCCAGGAAGGGAAGAACTCCCTCAGCAAGCTCAAGGGAGTGTGAACACCAGCGGAGCTGGGAGCCTTGCCAGTACCAGCGTTGGCAGCAATGGCAATGGCTATCCCGAAGAAGTGCAAGAACCGTCTCTTCAGGAAGAAGAGCAGGCCTCTCTGGAAGAAGGAGAAATTCCTTGGCTCCGGTACAATGAGAATGAAAGCAGCAGTGAGGGGGAGAACGAATCCAGCCACGAGCTGATACAGCCTGCGATGTTCATGCTGGATGGCAACAACAACCTGGAAGATGACTCCAGTGTGAGCGAAGACCTAGAAGTGGACTGGAGCCTGTTTGATGGCTTTGCGGATGGGATGGGGGTGGCGGAGGCCATCTCCTACGTGGATCCGCAGTTCCTCACCTACATGGCCCTTGAAGAGCGCCTGGCCCAGGCGATGGAGACTGCTCTTGCTCACCTGGAGTCTCTCGCCGTTGATGTCGAAGTGGCTAACCCACCCGCAAGCAAGGAGAGCATTGATGCACTTCCTGAGATCCTGGTCACCGAAGATCATGGTGCCGTGGGCCAGGAAATGTGCTGTCCTATCTGCTGCAGTGAATATGTGAAGGGGGAGGTGGCAACCGAGCTGCCGTGCCACCACTATTTCCACAAGCCGTGCGTGTCCATCTGGCTTCAGAAGTCCGGCACCTGCCCCGTGTGCCGCTGCATGTTCCCTCCCCCACTGTAAAGGCCATGGCTCGTCACTCTTAGCCTGGCTAATTCCCTATCTAACACCCACAATAATACAGGAGCCCGCTTTCAAAATTAACACTGGCCATAAAATCTGTCGGTCAGTTACGCTAAACTTGTTGATTCCTTGTGATTATTTCCAATGTGAAAATGGTTGCGTGCAATTACATTTAAAAATCATTCTTTCATTTAGAAGGTAGAAAAGGGAAACTAAACTTTCTAAATGCTACTTGAGATTGCAGCAAGAACATAAATTTTCTAACCTGAAAGTTGAAACAAATCATATTTGTTCTGTAGACTATGTTACTCTTACTTGTTGATGTCAAGTTTATCTGTTAAATACGTTGGAAAGAAAAAAATCACTTTCGTTGCATGTTATGGGTTAATGTTCCTGTATTTGCAGTGGTGTAAAAGCTTATTAAAGTTCTCCTTTTGGTTTGGCACAGTACAATGGCATCGTTTGGGCTTTGTCTGAAACGGTGTTACCAGGTAACTATAAATTCTTCCCAGCTCTAGAAAAAACTGTCATTTTCACTAGAAATTCTCATCAGAACACCAAAGACCTATAAGAAACAGGAATAAGGTATGTGATTGTGTTCTGTGTGGAAAAGATTGACTAGAGAGAGAGAGGAGAGAGAAAATACCCACAAAGAAACGGGTAAAAATAAATCCAAACTGTGGGGGTGAACAAGTTCAAATCACCTTTGAGAAGATGGAAACTCGCAGAATGGGTAAAAAAAAAAAAAAAGATCTGAATGCCAGTTACACATCTTAACATAGTGACACAAATAGGGACACCCCAACAGAGTGCTGCAGGACAGCCACGGCAAATTCGTTTAACAGCTGGCCATGGTTCTTCAAATCCACCTCTAGGATAGAACTCAGACACAAGTGAATTCCTCACACCCTATTTCCCTTCATTCAGCCACAGAGGTAAGCACTGCCGAGAAAATGGTGTGAACTCCTTGTCTCTATCTCTAGACATATACACTCTGTGTGTGTGTGTGTGTGTCCCCATAAACAGCTGGGTTTGTTTCTAAACTGGACGTAGTTGGTGGAATGTGTGTGCTCTCATTTTGCAGCTTGACTTTTTCACTCCCATGTTCTTTTTTTTTTTTTTTTTGCATTGGATACATTAACCCTTTTGGTTGATGTTTAGATTCTCACCAGCACTGAATATAATAGAAATACCCCTTTGTGCACGTGTGTGTTTGTCTAGCAGTAAGTACAAGGGAATGAAAGATCAGCGTGCCATAGTTTGAGCATCTTTACCAAGTAGATAGTGTCAAATTGCTGTCTTGAGTGACTGTACTGCTATTTCTACCAACAGTTTTGGGAGGAGACTCGTCGTAACTCCAAAAGCCTGGGTGGTGTTAGTCCTCAGCCCTTCAGCCTCACTGGGATTCCGTGACGGGTCAATGAATACACCAGAGAAACATGCTCTGTTCTTTAGAAAACAATAGTTTGTCTTCCTGATCACATCTAGTTTCAGCTCAGAAGAGGAGAGGACACAAGCAGTTGAGCCACATTTGCACCTGCAGCTTGAGCAGTGTGCTAGCAGCAGGGGTCAGCTGTACCCAGGCTCTTGCCGGTTCGGTAGGTCTGGAATTAAAGCTATGCAATGGTTGCAAGTTTTATCAGGTACTGATAAAGATGTCCAAGACATAATGTTATTAAGGAAGAAAGGAAAGCATGGCATAGAACAGTATGTAGAGGCTTTAGAAGCTGAATGGAAAGCCTCACCATGCCAAAAGAGAGGACCAGTGGGATGACTCGGGCTTAGAGCAATTACTGCTCTTGCGGAGGACCCAGGTTTGATTTATAACACCTACGTGGTGGTTTAAAATCATCTCTAACTCCAGTTCCAAGGGATCTGATGCCCACTGTACACCAAGCACGCGTGTGGTACACACTCATACATTCAGACAAATCACACATAGGTACTGGCTGGTAGTCAGCATAAAGAAAAAACCCATACGCTTACAGAAATGTCTTCTCCCACTTAAGAGAAGCCTTTCAGGCTAAGACCTACAGCTTCCTTCATTGGTCTTTCTTGGCCTTAGCCCAATATAGGGCTCTTTTGGTGGGTTCTGGTGGTTTGCCACGAACCTTTTCTATGCCCTGAGTGGTACCACATGAAAGTATTTTAGGAGCACCCTTGGTATCCTTCCCATGGTATAACAGTGACCCACATTTCCTTTAGGCGGAATGAGTCAGTTCAAGAGAGGGGATGCTGGCCGGTGCCAGAGGGCCCCTACTGGCTGGAGAAATACACCACTGCAGTCTGGGTAGAGACTCCAGACCTGTGCCTCTGGGGCCCTGAGCAGCTTCAGACTCAAGTGGAGAGCACCAGCCAAGGGTGCTGTTCAGAGGCCTTGAAGTCTGGAGTGGGATGTGAGGACCAGGAGCCCAGAAGTATTTGCTGTGGTGGTGATGTCAGAAGCAAAAATGACAGCTTGGGGCCACAGTAGTGATGCACGATTAATAAAATCTCAGGGTCAGAAACTGGGGTTCAACCTAAAGGTGTGAAAAGCAAACCAGCCAGCCACTGGCTCTTAACTCGACCTCAGTCTGAAATGGTGATTCTGCTGCCTCCAGCAGACTGTCCCCGAGAGCTGTCTTCCCCTGTCGTATATTCCTCTCCAGGGCTGGGATTAAAGGTATGCACCACCTGATTTCTATGGCAACCAGTGTGGCTACTGACATGAAGGGTGCACATCATTATGGCTACTGGGATTAAAGGTGTGTGTTACCATAACCTGGTCTGTAAGGCTGACCGGTGGGGCTGTTTCACTCTCAGATCCTCAGGCAGGCTTTATTAAAATACAATTGAAATGTCACTACACAGTAGTTTGGGATCCTTGGTGATGATGTAGCAGGCTACCAGCTCTACTGGCAGGCTGTGTCTATCTGCCTGCCTGTACTGTTCCTCAGACTTGCGTGCAGATGACAACACATTGCCCACCATGCCCAATCCTCGGACAGTCCTCACCCAAAGGAAGGGAGTAAGTTGGGTCGTGGAGCCCCTGAGCCACCTTTCCAAATGCCATGGCATTTGCATCTGCTGACTGGTGGCACTTTGTGAGCTCGCGTGTACTCCCCCATTCCAGTTTTCTGTCTCTACACTTCACTATCCCAAGAGGTTCTCTGAACCCCACCGCCTCAAGCCCTCTTAAACATTGATTTCCCTGGCTCCGGCTGTTAATCCCAGAAGGAGAGTAGCAAGGAAACTGGCTCCAGAAGCCAGTGACATTCTGCAGCCACAACAGAAGGATGTTGGAGGAGGGGCAGCAAGGGATGTCTTAACCCCAGCAGCCCTAGTCTCAGAGTGGCTAGGAGCCAGTAGGCACCTGAAGGGCTGTGGGTGAGCCTGAGCTGCCTCCAGCTGGACCTCGTCGATCTGCTTCAGGTGTTCTGGTAACAGGCGCTATGTGCTGCCAGGCTCTTAGAGATCCTGGTGCACACTGCAGATCCAGCCTGGGAGTGTGGGACAAGAGGACACCTTGCATGGTGACAGGAAAAAGAGGAACAAGACCCCGGTAACTAAAGGGCACCTTTGGAAGAGCTGGGGACAAAGGGACAGCATCTGCTCACAGATAAGGGCGTGCAGCTGAAAACCAACGGTACGAGAAGCAGAGACGGGCACTGGCACACGCAGCCAGTCTTCAGGGAGCAGGAGAGCCGAGCAAGGTCTGCTCAGTCAGGTTCATGCTTGTGTTCAGCAGCAAGCTGGAGTCCAACAGACTAGGATTTTTTTTTTATTTCCTTCAGAGCTTTGAAACAGGGTCTCTGTAGCTCAGGCTAAGACCAAACTCACTGCAGTCCTCCTGCCTCAGCCTCCTGAGTGCTGGGATTACAGGCATGCATCACTGTGTTCAGCTTTGTTTAGTTCAAGAGGTATTCAGCTTCTGCCTGTGGTGCATTCAACCAGGTCCCACAAAAGATGAATGGAGCTTAATCCTTTTCTCAACTCATGGTCTAGACTGGGAGATGGGCTGAAGACTACAGTGATGTCCTGGGAAAGCGGAGGCAGATGCACACTCCATCTGGTGGGCAAAGCTGGGAAGAGGGCTGGTGCTCCCAGATGACAAATGTGAGACCATTTACGCTTCAGGCATGAGGAGGGAACAGGTAAGGAAAGGACAGAGGGAGAGCAGGATGGCTCCTTTCTAAGGCTGTCACTGTCGTCAACTGGTTGTATTTGTTTGAAAGCTACTTCAGTGAGATGTAGTAACATTTCAAATCCACGCACACTGACCCTGCAATTGCATTAGTGGGAATTTAGCTCTCCTACATGAGCAAGAGCACAGTTTGTTTGGACAGGGATATTTATTGTTGTGTTATTTTTAGTTGCAAGATGAGCAAGTGTTTAGGTGTCCATCACTGGGGGCCTAGTTAAATAAATCATGGCCCAGCCATCAGAGGCTTTACTGGACAGCCTGTATCCAGTGCAAGGGAGACCCTCCAGACTGCTGTATCTATCTATCAGTCTGCAGAAGTCTGCAAGCTACAAAGGCCAGGTGCAGTGTAGTGGGCCATTTTACAAATGATCACATGTCACAAAAAGATCTATGTGCATCAGTGCTTAGCCAGCTGTAGAGTACCGCTGGAAAGATCCGGAACCAGAAGCACGGAAGGAGGTAGGCAGTGAGGATGCTTACTTTTTACTGCGTGCTTGGGTTTCCTTCTTTTGTTTTCCTCCTCTCCCTCCCTCCCACTCTTCCTTCTTTTCTTTATAAGATTTTTGCTACATTTGTATTGGAATGTGTGCGTGGGTGAGTCTGTGTGGGCATGCACGTGCCATGGCACATGGGGGTGGGGGGGGGGGGGGGGAAGGTCAGAGGGACAATTCTCTTCTTCCACCAAACTCAGGTTTCCAGGCTTGGAGGCAGGCTCTTTACCTGTTGCATCATCTCCATGGTCCCTCTTCTTTTCTTCTGCAGTGCTGGGGCCTAAGGCACGCGAAGCAAGCCCTGTGCCACAGAGCTGCCCCTCTAGCTTACTGAATACTTTTCGAGATGCTTGACAACTCCATTTGCTTTTGGCTTTGTTTTCTTCTTTTTTGTACTTGTTGTTGGTTGTTTCATTTGTCTGCTTTATTCTGAGACCGAGTTTTACCATGTAGACCCTGCCTGGCCCAGAACTCACTATGTAGGCCAGGCTGGCATCAAATTCACAGAGATCCCCTGTGTCTGCCTCTGCAATGCTGGGATTAAAAGCGAGAACCACCAAGCCAGACTGGGATTTCTTTTAATCATATGCATATGTGACAGAAACAGAGAAACGAAGGAAGAAGGGTGGCAGGAAGGTAGGGATCTCAGGCAAAGGGAGCTGAAGGAACAGAAGTCTGGAGGTATAGCACGGGATGCCGTGTGTATTTGCATCCCTGCATCTTGGAGCAGAGACTCTCTGAGCTGATCTCCAATAATGGGATGCAGAGTGCATGGTCAGGAGACTGGGCGGGGGGGGGGGGGGGGGGGGGGGGGGGGGGGGGGGGGGGGGGGGGGGGGGGGGGGGGGGGGGGGGGGGGGGGGGGGGTGAGGAAAGCACTCTCAGCCACAAGGCCAAGGTCCCAGAAAACCACAAGTGTTGGCACATTCGAACCTCCTAGGGAGTTGTGGAACTCAGATGACATCGACTCATAAAAATACATGGTACAGGCTAGAAGGTGGGAGGTGGCCTAGGGCAGGGCCACTAGAATCTCAGGTTGTCCAATAGACCTTGTGTATGTCCACAACAGGTTTACCGGGAAATCTACCATTGAGCTGGCTGGTGCTGACTCTCTTTCACTGGTGGGGTCATTGTACTGATCTTTGTGTTTGGGGGAGGTGGGATTTCTTAAACGCTCCTCAACCAGCACATGACTGAGAAGGAAAGCTTTTTTTCCTACATGTCTTTGCGACATGCAGGTGTCAGATCCACTGGGACTTGAGTTACAGACATTTGTGACCTGCCATGTGGATACTGGGAATTGAGCCTGGGTCCTCTGGAAGAGCAGCCAACGCTTTTAACCACCGAGCCATCTCTCCAGTCCGTGGATTTTTTTTTTTAACAGAAAGTTGCTGGAACGCTGGCTCACCTTCACAAGGAGGGATTCTCCTTAGGAAAGCAGAGCAGGCCGCCAGTGGTTGTCCTGTGTCTTTGAAGGCCTCCCAGAGGAGCTTTGCATCCAGTGCTGTGGCTCAGTTGAAAGACCTT